AAGTGTCCGTACTCATCACAGTTCCAACACTTGATGTCGCTTCTTGTCTTTGAACTCCCTCTCCTGCCTTTGGACTTAGATCTTCCCCTGTAACTGTTTCTCCTCTCTTTCTTTCTACCTCTTCCCTCAGTGCTCAGCAGAGAACTTGATGGTTCACCTGTATTCTTTCTCCTGATGTCTTCTCCTAAGATAAAATCACGGATTCCCTCAAACGTGAGTGTGGTGTTTCCAGCTGAACCACTAATAGCCGTGACTGATCCTGACCAACTATCCGGTAAAGAAGATAAAAGAAGCAAAGCTTGTACCTCATCATCAAATTTGATATCTACTGATAGCAAACGGGATATAATGGTATTGAAAACATTGATATGAGTAGTAACAGAACCACCTTCCCGCATACGAGTGTTAACTAACTGTCTAATCAAGAATACCTTATTTGACGCGGAAGGTTTCTCATACATGTTTGACAACGTTGTCATAACCCCACGAGCAGTGGTCTCTTTCACGATGTTGAAAGCCACACTCTTTGTCAAAGTGCACCTGATGACGGCTAGGGCTTTTCTATCCAAGTCAGCCCATTCTTCATCCTTCATCTTCTCGGGTTTTTGACCTGTCAAACATGGAAGAAGATCTTTCTGACATAGCAAGTCCTCGACTTGCATCTTCCACCATCCAAAATCTTGCCCATCAAACTTCTCTATCCTGATCTTTCCGTCCTCAGACATCATCTATTCTGAGTATCCCAGATCTGACCAGAGAACACGTGAGAACAGTGAGACAAACAACCAGAACTGACCTCGAAAATTGCAGCAGCAAACTGAACAGCAAGGTTTTTCGGACTGCCCACAGATGACTATCTCGGTGGTCTTCTGATGTGTCGGCAGAAACCCTAGAGTCGCTAGGGTTGGCAGTGGAGGCAGATCTGTGTGTATGACCTAGGCTCTGATACCAGTTGTTAAGAACAAAAGCACACACACGAATATAAAGCAAGAAAGCGATAAAGAACACGAGATTTAACGTGATCCACAGGGGCAACTAGGGTTTGTATTATTGAGTGATGATGATTACAAGTACAGGAGATCGTATATATAGACAACTAATTAGGGTTTAACCCTTGCTGGACAAGTTATAGCAAACTGGGCTTAAAACCATTTGGGCCGGCCGAAACCCTAATCTGGTCTCCTAACTCTCAGTTGTCTACAAGTGGGCCACTTTGGGCCGATGACTACACATCACCAACACTGTATCAGGCAAGGGACAAAAAACAGAGCATTAAAAACCCTCTTTTTTTCTTAAACGTAGTTTGATGGGATACCTTCTCAATAGTAATTAAAT